GATGGAAAGCTAAGACACAGTTCTACAACTTTGATGTTTTGAGTTTTCTCAAAATCAAGCTTCTGGTATGTCAAAAATTATGTTGAACTCAAGTGATAGCTGCTGGACAGTAGCTGAGAAAAGCGCTTGTTTGACTTTCAAAACTCAACTCTGAGCTTAAGGCTAATTCAATCATTCTCTAATCTTGAAGGACCATTAACTGTTCTTAGTGGATGTTTTTTTTATGATTCTAAAGAGATCTATTTATAAATGCATTCTTCAGTGGCATGCCTTTGAGTCCGAAAGGACTGTTGTATTTGACTTCATTATTGAGAACATCAACAATGCTCTTAAGGTAATTAGTTCACATTGAGCTAGTTATATCTCTTTTAACATGCTTCTTTTTTCTCAGATAAGAGGGCGTTACTATACAGTTGGAATTCGAGTCAGTTAAGCAATTGACTATGTGGTTCTTTGAAATTGCATTACCTGAATAATTGTTTCCTTCAACTGTGAGTCGAAATCAACCACCAATAGTAGCAAGCCAGGAAATTCTTGAACTGCAAACAAAGTCAACAGAATCTCATATAAATAAAAACTTTTCTAACAAAAATCATTCAAAGACAAAACATGAATGACATTCATCTAAAATACAAATAGATAAATATATACACATGTATATATGTGTGAATGAAATATATTTTGACGTTACATAACCAAGTTGTTAATGATTTAATAATCAGGCCCATCCATACATTATCAAAAAGCTGGTTGACCTCGTAGGAATTACATCCATCATGGAGGTGTATTCTCGAACTTCCCTATTCTTACCCCTGAATCTGTATCCCTTCAAATTAGTATTTTTTTGAACAGGTGCTGATTGGTCTGATTGGTGCTGACGAACATCTTTACACCAGTTATGCAGACCCAACGCAGTGGTTAGAAGATATTGATGTATTAGAGATGATTGTATTAAAAATTTCAATTTTATCTAAGTGGTTTAAGTCATGAATGTAAATATGTTCTGTTTTCCATATTCATATTCAACTCAAAGATTTATTCATGTTTGTAGACATAAGGTTAAAGAAAGGTTGGTTCATATGGAGTCAACCTATTAATCGTTGGATATGAAGATTTTGTTTAGTTTTGGTTCAAATAGATGTTGTACAAGACATTGACCAAAATACCAAAATTCAAGGCTGAAATTGTTTGCAACACAACCAAGATTCTGCTATAAATCATGGCAGGAACTATTTGCATTAACCAAAAAGTACCAAAATTCATCAACAAATAGTATCATTTTAACATTAACCAAAAATACCAAGGGTGAATGAAACCTACTGTTGCATTCTCAGGACTTTGTTGCTCTTGTTTCTATAAACAAGATTCACCTCATCCAAAATATGTTCTGTTTTCCATATTCATATTCAACTCAAAGATTTATTCATGTTTGTAGAAATAAGAGCATCATCTAAAAGAACTTCCCAGCATTTCCAAACAAAGAAGAAAGATGGTGTTATGATGTAAAATTGAAAATAGGACAGAAGCCTTCTCCATCTCTACTGCCAGTTATCCGTTGTTCCTTTTTTTGGTTTTTCCATTCAACAAAATAAATTTAAACTAATTAATTATAACTTTTTATCTTCATTAGCCACCCCTCTGGATAAAACTAACAACTCGGTAAGATGCAAACCCAGAAAGCATGCATAGAATTATAAAAGATAAAGACAACAACTCAAATCTATGGAATGGAGGTAGTACCGAATCAAATCTAGAACATTAACTTTTCGATGAAAAATTCTATAATCCAAAAACAACCAAATTAATGCGTGATTGACTGATTGTTACACAATGTACCAACCCTTTTATTTATGTTTAATCAACTTAGTGACATATATGTTTACCACAATAAGTTGTTAATAACTAGGAGTTGTCATCTTTTGGCTTTATTGATGGAAGAGCTTGATCAGGAAGTCGCAGCATTGCATTCTTTCAAATCACAATCCTCAAGGCTATCAGCTCTTTACAGAAGTCATTAATTTCGACATCGTAAGAAACATAAAAAAGATCAAATAAGAAACTTCGTACCTCAAAATCTGTATACTGATAGTAGCAAATTCTCGAACTGCAAATAAAGTCAACATAAATCAAAATCTCTTATAATCTGTTTGAAGCGATAACCCAAATCGATCCTTATATTAGGGATGGCGAGAAAGTCGAATTGGGTTTAGGGATAAGATAGAAATCAAAATCAAAATCTATCTCATAATCTGTTTGAAGCGATAACCCAAATCGATTTCATCAAAATATCTAATCATGGGTTTGAAAATCGATTAGGGATTGGGTTTAGATTAGGGATGCGATAAAATTAGGAATTTGTTTTAGGGATGCGATAAGAGGGATTGGTTTTTAGGGATATGGCTTTAAAGATTGTACTATATGCTTAAAAGATTGTTTTTAAGAGTTTCAGTCAAATGCTTTATAAGATAGTATAGATTTTATTAAGAAAAACTATTTCATTATAATTTAATAAATTAATCAAAATATTTAAACAACTATTTAACAGTAAATTAGACATTTTAGTTGTTTTATTCTCTTGGATTATATTTTACCAAACGCTCAAATGTTACCTAATAAATAAAATAAGACACCAAACTTACCCTAAAAGGAGGTGGTCAAAGGAACTAAACATGTAATTTAGTCAAAATGTTGGACTTGTTCAAACATTTCTATTCTCTGGTTGATAAAGAAGACGTTGACTTTGTCATACCGGAGGTCTTCCTCCTCGGTTCTCACCACGCTTCCTTTGCTGGTTTACCTCTCTATATATGAATTCACCATCTGAGTTTCAATATCAACACCCATCTGCATCTCCAATATGAATTCACATCCTTCTTCCTTGGTATCCACCGCCGTAAAGACCTCCGATCAGAAACACCTCCATCTAGACGGCCATACCTCCGGTCAAGCAGCTCCAGCATACGAGGATTCCGGCCACGTGCCCCAAGCAAACTCGCTTAATCAGTTTCAACATGAGACTCTCGATCGTGAATTAGGTCATGTTTATTGGTATGATGATGGTGGTCAACCACCATCTCTTTCAGATATGAGACCAGTCCTCGTTTCTCTACCTTCCGGCGGTGGCAATCCGATGTCAACGGGTTGTCAACCACCGTCGCTGAACGATGTAGATAGACGTGCATCATCTCAGACGGGGGCATCGTTGACTGGCAACCGGCTGATGGTTGATGAACTGGAATTAGCCGGGATGAGTTTGGTCGGAAATAAGTTCAGGGACATGTATCCGATGGCATACCGCAAGAAGAATGATGAAAAGAATGAATGATTTGTGGAAATTTTAAACTTTGAATTGGTTTCTTGTGAACTTGAGATTTCATGATTAAATAAACCATTTTCGTTTGTGTTTTTTCCCCATTTAAAATTACATTTTTCCATCATCATCACCACCATAGAACAAACAAACCAATAACTTAAAGCTAAGAACTGTGTGAGAAAACATCTGTCTCACAAAAAGAGTTAAAGATAAAGAAGATAAAAAAGAGATTTGGATCATTGATTACCTTTAATTTCAAACTTACCCGTGAATCATGTTTGATACAGAGAATGATCTGATGCATCTCGGTGCATCTCATCCCATAGACCGACCCATGAATTTTTTCAAAAGGTGGCACCATTTGACTATAAGAAAAAAATATAGGGAATTTTTTTTCAAAGAGTGGCACCGTTTGACTATAAGAAAAAAATATACATAAATTTTTTTCAAACGGTGACACCATTTGACTAAGAAAATGACACTAACAAGATTTGAACTTGGGTCTAGGATGGAATAAAAACTTTGCAAACCAACTCTATCAAATAAAACTTGTTCTCATTGTAATTTAAAATACATACGGTGGCACACAACAAATTAATACGATTGCACATTTCACAAACATAAAGATTTTTACCCTTCGACGGATGAATAATACGTAGGCACATGCTACCATATGCACCACTATAAGTCCGTCCATGTCTCATCCTAACGTGCATCCAAAGATGGAGTTCCCCTTCTAACGTTTCTTATCTTAACTCTTTTTCTTATTGGAACTCAACTTGTAACTTAAATAAATGGATTCAGTGAAAGCCTCTATGTCTAACTGAGTTGGCAAAGGATGAGATTACTTTATCCAAATACAAGACAGATTGTGACATCCGTCATTTTTGGGCGTCACGTTAGCACCTTATAGAATTTTTAAAATTAAGAATTATATTAGGATCTAGTCATATTGATTAGAATTCATCTGACTTAGTTCCCAAAATATAGTTTAGAAAATCCTATTTCGATGGGTAACTGATAAAGTTAACTTATGTAATGTCAAATTCATTAAAATTCTTCAAACAAAATAAAGTTGATATTATAAAAGTCCAAATTAAATTATAAAAAGTTTTATTTAAATGTCCAAATAATTTTACAAAAATTTGGAATTTTGACCTAATACTGATATTTTATCAGTATTTGACAATTATATTTATGTTTTACTTTAAATGGGCCTTATTTTTAAAAAAAATTAAAAATAAACAAGTATGGACTTGGGCTCTAATAAGGCCAGCCCATTTCCTTTCTTTAAACTCACATATAAATACCCCACATTCTTTGAAAACTCTCATTTTTCATCCTCATTTTGCATAAATCTTTTATCTCCCTAACCTCTCTCTCTCTAAACCATACCCCTCCAGCCGATTTTATCTTCAAGCATCATTAAAAATCTGTCAATCTTGAAGAATATTCAAGATTTCAAGCAAAAGGTAATAGACTAGTTATCTTACCTTTGTATAATAACAAAGATTCTCATTTTCTACACCTACTTCTTGTTTTTGTAATTAAATATTCTGGAGAATTCAAAAGGGGGATTATACATTAAAGACATGAAAATGTCTTCAAAATGATGATAATCTATGATCCACGAACTTAGAACTCTAAGAAAATAGGATAAAACCACATTGCATGTGGAATTTAATCATTAAAAGATATATTTTGAAAACTGACAGATTCTGTTAGCACTTGTGTCGACTGTATCTTTCAAAATAAAAGTCCAAATGTTCTTATTTTTCTTCTAAAACATACTTTAATGAGTTATCTTTCTAATGCAACTGGTATCACTAAAAAATATTACGTTTTGAACCTTCAAGTTCTTGATACAAGATTATGGTGCAAAAAGAGCAATGCTGACAGAATCTTGCATGCATTTTAAAACGGTTATATCTTCTTCAAAACTCAATAAAAATGGGTGATTCTTTTTCTGGAAGTTAGCATTATGTGTTAGCTTTAAAATAAATTTAAAATCACTGAATAATGATGAGTTAGGGCCCCCAAATGACCGTCACTCGAAGAGTGTGTAATCTGTCTTGGGGACTGTGTCACTCAAAGTTGTAGGGTATTAATGAGTGCCTTAAACCCATCCAAAATTCTTGATATTCGGGAAACATCTGTTTAACTCATTTCTATTGATGATATAAAAATTTGGACTCAAAAAGAGTTATGGAAGGTTCCTTTTGACAGTGATTTGTGAGACCAAAAATTCCAGATTTAGAATTTATTTTATGTCCAAGTGTTTCTTCATATGTTGAAGACTTGGGTATAAAATATTGGACTATTTCAAAGAGCAAATGATATTAGTATCAACTTTAAACCATGAAAACTCAATGGCATTACATAAGACATACTTAACTTTATCTTTACCAAGAACCTATAGGTGATCTAATTTCTGGATGTTGGACTGTTTAGGAAAGTCTAGGTTGGACGATTAGAGCTTCAAGCATTGTTAAGCTCTTGGATATTCAAAACAGCAAACTAGTGAGTATTCACGGCCCCACTTTTAATGTTTTTTGTTTATTTAAACTGGGGGAAAAACATGAAGTTATGCAAACTATACTGTTTATTAATAAAACTGTTGGACTAAAAAACTGTTTAGTCAAGATTTGTTTATGTCATGAAATATTGACTATTTCGCACTATGATATAAATGATAAATTGATGTACTTGAGAGTATATTTCCAAATAAAGTCCTCGTCCATAAACGCTACTTGTTAACTCGGGCATGTCCCCGAGCCGTGGTATTTGTGGATAGCCGCTATTGTGTTGACAGTCCCACCCAGAAAGGGTGCACAT